TGTTGCTCCAGTCTTATACAGACATGTTAAAGCAGGTGTTGCTCCGGTCTCATACAGACATGTTAAAGCAGGTGTTGCTCCGGTCTCAAAGAGACTTGTTACAGAAGGTGTTGCTCCGGTCTCATACAGACCAGTTAAAGCAGGTGTTGCTCCGGTCTTATACAGACCAGTTAAAGCAGGTGTTGCTCCGGTCTTATACAGATGTGTTAAAGCAGGTGTTGCTCCGGTCTCATACACATGTGTTAAAGCAGGTGTTGCTCCGGTCTCATACAGATGTGTTACAGAAGGTGTTGCTCCGGTCTCATACAGACCAGTTAAAGCAGGTGTTGCTCCGGTCTTATACAGACGTGTTAAAGCGTGTTGCTCCGGTCTCATACAGACGTGTTACAGCAGGTGTTGCTCCGGTCTCATACAGACGTGTTACAGCAGGTGTTGCTCTAATCTCGTACAGACGTGTTACAACAGGTGTTGCTCCGGTTTCGTACAGACGTGTTGACTTTGTCCGTTTGACGTGTGTTGACTTTATTCATAAACAGAGAGTGCTAAGATTTTTTAAAATCCGAATTCCAATAATATTTGAAATATCTGAAATATATTGAGGGCAACACGGTGGCGCAACTGGTAGAGCTGCTGCCTCTCAGCGAGCAGGTCCTTGGTTCAAACCCCGGTCCAGGGGCTTTTCTGGGTGGAGTTTGCATGTTCTCTCCGTGTATGCGTGGGTTTTCTCCGGGTGCTCCAGTTTCCTCCCACAGACCAAAAACATGCATGTTAGGCTGATTGGTAACTCTAAATTGTCACTAGGTGTGAGTGGGAGAGTGAATGGTTGTTTGTCTCGTTTGTCTCTATGTGGCCCTATGATGGACTTGCGACCCGTCCAGGGTGTACCCCGCCCCTCGCACAGTGATTGCTGGACATGGGCACCAGCGATCCCCGTGACCCAAAATGGAATAAGCGGGTAAAGATAATGGATGGATGGATGGATGAAATATATTGAAACACATAAAGACCTGTATGAAATGTTAATGGAATTGCCCACTAATGGATGTTAATCCTAATCCTAAAACATATACTCCCTTGTTGTAGTTTATCTTATTTTATTTCTTCTTTTTCTCTTACTTTCCTTTTTTTTTCATATCAAAGTCTGCCTCTGCTATGCCCTTTTTAGAGTTATACTATTGTGAATTGCCATATTTGTTTGTACTTGTTTTTGCTAAATAAAGTTAAAAAAAAAGTCCTTGTTGACTTCCTGATTTGGGCGGAGTCACATACAGGTGTGCAGTGTTGCCACATGGCCACAGGTGTGTGTAGAGCGTGTGCACCTACAGGTCGAAGGTTGTGTGTTGTTTGTCCTCCAGGTTCACGTTCAGCACCTCATCATGAGGATGGCTTCTGCTGAGTCAGTCCTTTTTCCTTTGCTTTACGCTGAGTCATGGTTTGCAGCAGCAGGGTTGTTCTAGCTACCGATGATTTTGGTTCTGTCTCTGTTCAGGTATTGACTATAAGACCACCACCATCCTTCTGGACGGCCGGAGGGTGAAGCTTGAGCTGTGGTAAGCACACCTTACACCACCCACACCTGTTTGCACTTCTTTCCAGGAGGCAGGAGGAGGGGACAGACTTTCACAATAAATCTGATTTATCTGTGACAGAAACTACATGGTCTGTCAAAGAGGAACAGGTGAAGATGAACACTCGTGTGAAGACAAACACTCAGTCCAAATTCATGTATAAGTTCTCTGAGTCCTAACAATGGGAGATCTGTGCTTCAAACTGTGCTGCCAATCCAACAGTCTCTCTGCACTGGGGCAGTTGGTTCACATGTGAATAAAAACTGGCGCTGAATGGGACACGATCCACTTTCTTACAGCTAGTTTAGCTTCTCCTCAATAGAAGAGTCTGAGGAAGAGGAGCAACCTGCTGTCTTCAGAGAGAGAGCAGCCAGGTCAGGAAGGGCACAATTCATCCTCTGCTGTGTTAACGACATTTACTTCAACTGCTCATCTGAGGTGTTACCAAGTCCTTCTGTGTCCATCAGCTGGTGATTAATTTATGAATTTTTTAGTGCTCCTCTGAGAGGAAGGACAGTTTCCTTGTTTCTTTGTGAAAAAAAAAACCTTCCTGAAGTCTTCAGTGGAGACTTCCTGATTTGAAAACTTCCTGTGTTAAACGGTTCACGACTTGAAGATTTTTCTTTATTCCATTCAACCTTTATTTCTACAGGTTAGTCTCCTACATGTCACTGCGTGAGTGCAGCTGCAGCGTGCGCACTCAGGACATTATTCTTTCTACAGGTAGGCAAATGGGCCTTCTCCTGCTCTGCTACTGTTTCCTGGAATATCTTGCAAAAAGATCTGAAGCTCTTGACCATGACCACTCTAAGTGGCTGTTCCTGTTCCTGTTTTTAGTTTTCTACATCGCCTTACAATCTAGCTGTTTTTCGCTACTTTTCCTCTTAATTATCCTTTTAATTACCATTTTGTTTTCACTTGTCATCTCAAGGCACTGAACAGAAACATTCATATATAAAAATAATAATTTAATACTATTTACTCGAGGAGCAGACTGCTTTGAATTGAACTCATCACAGAACTCTCATCTTGAGCAAGCATGAAGGCAACACTGGAAAGGAAAAACTCCCGCATGAGGAAGAAACCTTTAGCAGAACCAGGCTCAGGACAAGCGGCCATCTGCTTTGACTGGCTGGGTTTGGTAGGAACAGACACACAATGGCAGGTCAAGAGTCACATGTTAAGATAGAAATAATATCAAATGAAAACTAAGTCAAACAGACCCAAATCCACAACATGACAATTTAACAAAGGAGGGGAGTGCATTAATGTGCAAAAAGTGTAATCCTGACATGTTTTTAAAATCTTTTGGTGTGCTGTAATGTGTGGGAGGTCTAGGTTTAGGTTTTATCTCAAACAACAGTAAACGATGTCTTCAGTTTTCTCTGCAGGTCCAGACCAGAACTTTAAAATTCATCAGACTCTGGGTCCTCGTTTAGACTAGGCTTGAACTGAACCAATGTTTGAGCTGCTGCCTTGGCTGTTTGAGCTTTAGGATTACTGTCAGAGAATGTAGGGGCAGAGCCAGGACTGCAGGAGGTTCAGCAGAACCAGGTCCCGGGACAGAACACCATTTCTGATGTGAAGCTGTGGAGGACCGGTGGATCACAGCAGATCCTGACCCATGCATTCTAGAATTGCACCACTGAAGGTGGCTGCATGTTGGAGTAGCTCTGTTTTTTTCATTCTGATATATTACTTTTGACAACGTTAATTCCTCTTTTTTCTGGATGTAAATCGCTATTTTTGGATGATCATTTCCTCTGGTGTCAGACGCTGTGCAGCTGGAAGGATTTTTACTGAAACATCTTTGCTTTGGACATTTGTTATGATGCGTAACCATAACAACAAGGTGTTTTTTTTAACAACCGGGAGCACCTGATTAACATCTCAAAAGCTCAAATAATATCTCAACTACAGCCCCAAATTCCAAATGAGTTGAAAAGGAGGCGTCGTGGATGCAGAGCAGGAGCAAAGAAGAGGGAGAGGAGAATGAAGTTCTAACTATCTCTTCCATCGATCATGATGTGCGATCACTGGGAAAAAAGTTGGATGAACTTCAAGCCCTAACAAGGACTCATCCAGAGTATCGGGAATACAGTGTTATATGTTTTACTAAGACATGGCTACAGGATCATATCCCCGACTCCAGCGATTCTCTGCCAGGCTTTCTGACCATACGAGCAGATAGAGATTTAAAGAGGAGTGACAAAAGAAAAGGAGGTGGGTTGGCAGTGCTTGTGAACAACAGATGATGTAATCCTGGACATGTTACTGAGAAGTGCCGTCTCTGTAGTCAAGATATTGAACTGTTAGCAGTAAGTTGCCATCCATATTATTTGCCAAGAGAATTCACCAGTGTTATTTTGGCAACTGTTTACATTCAACCCAATGATGTTGCTGAGACTGTGTGTGATGTCATCAGCTCTGAGGCTGCTAAGCTACAGACACAACACCCTAGTGTATTTGTTGCAATATCTGGGGATTTTAATCATGTCTCACTCTCTGCTACACTTTTGACATTCCATCAGTTTGTCAGCTGCTCTACCAGAGAAAACAAAATGCTGAAAAATGTCAAGGTTTCATACATCGCTAAAGCATGACTCTCCTTTGGCAAATCAGATCACAATCTTGTGTTTCTCTGCTCAAAATATAAACCCCTTGTTCAGAGACAACCTGCAATAAAGAGAACAGTGAGAAAACGGTCCACGGAAGCTGAAGAAGCCCTGCGGGATTGTTTTGAGTCTATAGACTGGGGTGCACGTTGCCAGCCACATGGAGAGGACATCAATGCCGTGACAGAGTGTGTGTCTGACTATATAAAATTCTGTGTTAACAACACTATTCCCACCAGAACAGTGAGATGTTTCCCCAATATCAAACCCTGGATCACCACTGACCTGAAGGAACTGCTATACCAGAAAAACAAGAGCTTTCAGGGAGGGAGATGGGGAATTATTGAGGAGTACACAGAAACAACTAAAAGTCAAGATAAGAAACAGCAAGGAGGTGTACAACAAGAAGCTGGAGAGCAAGCTCCAGCAGAACAATATCAGAGAGGTGTGGTCAGTGATGAAAAAGATCACAGGCTTCAAGCAAGAGGAGGATCAGAAGTATGGAAGCCTGGACAGAGCCAATGAACTGAACACATTCTTCAATAGGTTCAGTTCAGGAAGAAGCTCAGCATGCTCCTCTCTTGCCACAATCCAAACAGATATACCACCCTTCTTTGACCCAAGGCTGTCCTGTCGCATCTCAAATATTTTATCTACCACCTTGGTCATGGAGGACCCTTTTTCTTCTACATGTTGGTCTTCAACCAAATCAGAAGATGCTGATACCTCCTTTGCCTCCCCCCTCTGTGTCTCTAGAAGTCAGATGAGGAAGCAGCTGGAGAGACTGAACTGGAATAAGGCTGCAGGTCCAGATGGTGTCAGTCCCAGAGTCCTGAAGGTAGGTGCAGAGCAGCTCTGTGGGGTTCTGCAGCACCTGTTCAACCTTAGCCTGACCCAGGAGAAGGTTCCAGTGTTGTGGAAAACCTCCTGCCTTGTTGCAGTACCAAAGAAAACTCACCCACCAGTCCTCAATGACTATAGACCTGTTGCCCTGACATCCCACATCATGAAGGTCCTAGAGAGACTTCTCTTGGCCCACTTGTCTACACAAACAAGCACATGTCAGGACCCACTGCAGTTTGCTTATCAGCATGGACTTGGAGTTGAAGATGCCATCATACACCTGCTTCAGCAAACTCACTGTCATCTAGAAAAGGCAGACAGCACTGTGAGTCATGTTCTTTGATTTTTCCAGTGCATTTAACACAATCCAGCTTGATTGGCTTTGTCAAAAACTCCAGAAGACTCAGGTGGAGGCCTCAACAATCACCTGGATCAAAGACTACCTGACAGACCACAGTTTGTGAGGCAGAAGGGTTGTGTGTCTAACTAGGTGGTCAGTAGCTCAGGAGCACCACGGGGGACTGTACTCTCACCATTCCTTTTCACTCTGTACAACTCAGATTTTCAGTACAAAACAGACTTCTGTCATTTGCAAAAATATTCAGATGACTCTGCAGTGGTCAGATGTATCGGAGATGGACAAGAAGCTGAGTACAGGGAACTGGCGGACCACTTTGTGGCATGGTGTGGAAACAATCATCTTGAATATGAACAAAACAAAGGATATGATTGTAGATTTCTGAAGAAACAGGAACAGGTCCAACTCTATTTCCATCATGGGAGAAGTGGAAGTTTTGGAGAAGTATAAATACCTTGGGGTTCACCTGGACAACAGGCTGGGCTGGAAATGCAACAGTGAAGCCGTCTACAAGAAGGGATAGAGCAGACTGTACTTCTTGAGGAAGCTGAAGTCCTTCAATGTTTGCAGCAAGATGCTGCATATCTTCTGTGCTGTCTTTTCTGCCATCATCAGCTGGGGTAGCAGCACCAGAGCAAGTGACTTAAAAAAGATCAACAAATTCATAAAGAAGGCTGGCTCAGTTCTGGAGACTCCTCTAGATCATTTGGAGATGATTGTACAAAGAAAGATTCTTCATAAAATGTAAAACATTATAGACAACCCTCAGCACCCTCTTCATCAGACTGTCATACAACAACAGAGTGTCTTCAGTCATAAGCTTCTTCAGATCCGTTGTAAGACAAACCACTACAAGAGATCCAAGAGAATTTCCCTCTTGGATTAATAAAATATTTTTGAATTGAACTGAATTGAATTCTAGTCCTGGTGGATGAACTCTGCAGTTTTTTACTCCAAACTGGACAAGATTTCTTTGTTGCTCTTTTGTCCACAGGGACACGTCGGGTCAGGGCAGGTTCTGCACCATCTTCCGCTCATACTCCCGTGGAGCTCAGGTGAGGTCACACACCTGCATGGAGCAAGGTGACCTTCCAGATCTCCTGGTTCTAATGTTCCGGTCTCTCCTCAGGGGATCCTACTGGTGTATGACATCACTAACCGCTGGTCCTTCGATGGCATCGACAGATGGATCAGGGAGATCGATGAGGTGAGACTGGGCAGAACTCTCTTACCTCCTCCCTCCTCTTCACCTCCTCTTCAACTCCCATCCTCTTGACTTCCTCCCTACTCTTCACCAACTCCCTCCTTTTGACCACCTCTTCATCTCCCCCTCCTCTTCACCTCTGTACTCTTCACTGTAGTGGCTATTTACTGCAATTGATAATAGAATAATTAAATAAAATCTTATAACACCTTGGTTCTGATTTACTGCAAAGTCAGGGTTTTGTTATAAGGTACAGTTGAACTCTGAATAGCACACAAACCAAATGAAGAATCCCCCCTTTTCAATACAGCTCTGTTCACTCTTATACCTTCTATTGACGTCAAAGATTACAGTATATAACATTCCATATAAGAAAGATGTTTTTCAGTTTTATCAGTACTTTTCCCCACTCAAAACATTTTTCTGGTTGAGTGCCCAGATATTGGACGCACACTGACTTCCTGTAAGATAAACACATTCTTGCCAGAAAGAACAAGTCAGGTTGACCTAGAACAAATGCAGCCTTTCTCACAGAGCCTTGTTATACAAGTGATTCCCCTATTCATTTAATAAAACTCTTAAATCCTACAATCCTCCCTGTTTGAAGAAATTCCTCAAATAAACTAATGCTGCCAAATTGTCGGCAGCATGATGGCTCAGTGGTTAGCACTGTTGCCTCACAGCAAGAAGGTCCTGGGTTCAATCCCCGGTTAGATCTGGGGTCTTTTTGTGTGGAGTTTGCATGTTCTTCTTGTGCTTGCGTGGGTTTTCTCCGGGTACTCTGGTTTCTTCCCACAGACCAAAAACATGCATGTCGGACTGCCTTCAGGCCCAGAACTCCCTTGCAAAAGAGATCTGTGATCTCAATGGGATTTGCCTGGTTAAATAAAGGTTAAATAAAATAAAATAAAAATTCTGACATATTAAGTGTTCCATAAATGTTTGTGTAAGATTATGAGTAAGTGTAAGATTAAATTATCCTTATACATGAGTTTATTTTGTGCTGTACACTGTGATAAAATGATAATGTAAAATATTAGTGTTATAACAGTTAAAACATATGATCTTACTTAAAACAAAATATGATCACTCAGTCATTTCATCGGATAGTTGCCATTGCTTCCTGAAGAGCTGAAAAAACCTGTTGCTATCATTTACAGGAAAAATGTCTCCTCAGAAATAGACCCCTCGTATTAACTTCTGCCTTGTCATTCCTTGAAGCAGGAAGCAGGGGCATCAGCCAAATAAGTCTATTCAATTCTTTGTAAGTATGTATTACAGTCAATACTGAATTGAAATAAATGAAAAATGTCAAATAACACTGGTTACCTGAAAATCAATGAGTATGAAGAGAACTAATGAGTTCCTATTAATGTTCTGTGAAAACCATTATAAATGGAGCTATAACCAAAAATACTCCAAATCAGAATAAAGTGATAGGTGATAAGTGCAAATATAACGTGTAGCATGAAACTGCACTCCTTTAACTATGACCCCTGACACTTATTCATCTTCCAGACTCACTATGAATTGTGTTCTTTAAAGTTACATTTGACCTAAATAATGTCTGATGTTTTTCACACATTCACCCGTCCATGGACACAAAGCCAGCTACAGTCTGACTAATGTTTATCTTATTCTTCCTATGTTTCTAAGCAAGAAAAAACAAATCATTAATGCAGTTTGTTTTATTTGATTAACAAGTGGGAACATGAATGATTTAGATTGTTTTCAATCGTTATAATGAAATGCGAAATATTATAATATGAACAACATATTTCTCCTGTTTTTCAGAAGATAACTCATTCCTTCAGAGACACCTGTTGTGAGTGTTCTTTGAGCTGGAAGCTGTTTACTTCAGAGGAGAGTCATAGTATGCCAAACATATACTCTAGTATGCCAAAACAATCTTCTCAGAGCTGTTGTTTTGCACAAAGATCCTTTGTGTGAAAAAAGCAGTTCATTTTGGACTCCTGAACCGGAGTGTTCGTCTTCGTCTCCAAACCGGAAAGTGGTTCACTTTTGACACCCAAACCTGATGTAGTCCGAGGTCCACTCGTTTATTCCTGAGCAGATAAACATGTCGTTCAATTACAATTTGTTAGAAAATCAGAAGTTTAAATAACTACAGAAGATGAAGCCTTTTCTCACTGCAAGACTCACGTTCTCAGCTTGAAGCCCAAGCTGACTGAAGGTGCCGATGGACAGTACATCTTCTCATCAGCTGTTGCCCTCACAGACCCCTGAAGCTGTCACGTTGACGTTCAGCTACCTTGGGCAGTTCCTGGCAAGTCCTCCTCATGGTGTATCCTGGTCTGATCTACCAGAGAACCCCAGAAAGACGAGTGACCTGGTGCCCTCAATACTGACCTGGTAAGGAACAGAACCTGGTGACATGATGCCTTGGTCTGGTTATGCCATTTTAGCTGATGCAACTTGGTAAATAGTTTCCTGGCTTGCAGTGACAATAAATTACTTATCTGATCACATTCAATAGCTTCTTTCAACCAAAATCCGAAGCAAACTTTTATTCAAATAGTCAAACTTTGTCTAAATTCATGCGCGCATAAATAATTCCTGCTCAGAGTTAATTTTGCCTGAGATAAGAGAATTAAGCCTTGATTGATTCATTAATATTGTTTGTTTATTATTGTTGTTGATTTTTAGTTTGATTATTTTTGTAATAAAACTGCAAAGACAACTTTGGTTTTCATTTGGATGAATATTCATTTGTTATGGTATAGGACTCCCTGTAATTAATGGTTTCTACTTCAGTGACTGAGTTCTGATTATTAAAGGGTGAATATATTAATTAAGTTGCTGTTGGTCAGTAAACTGACCAGCTAGTGCCTCACTTTAATGAGTGCTAAATAAAATAAAAAAATGTAGTGGAAGGGAATGGAGAAAGTGTCACCCTTCTTCCTCAATCTCAGCCTTTGTTATTGCTACATTTTATGGTGCCCTGTGTGAGGCACCAGCTGGTCAGCTGCCAACCCTAACCCAAGCCAACCCTAACTATAGGATTTAGCAAAAAGGAAAGTCTTAAGCCTAGTCTTAAAACTGAACAGCATGTCAGTCTTATGGACATAAACTGGAAGTTGGTTCCACAAGAGATGAGCCTGATAACTGAAAGCTCTGCCTCCCATTCTGTTTTTGGAAACTCTAGGAACCACAAGTAAACCTGCAGTCTGAGAGTGAAGTGCTCTGTTAGGAAAATATGGAACAACAAGAGCTATAATATAATATGGAGCTAGGTTGTTGAGAGCTTTGTAGGTTAAAAGTAAGATTTTGAATTCAATTCTGGATTTGACAGGGAGCTAGTAGAGGGAAGCTAAAACTGGAGAGATATGATCTCTCCTACTAACTCCAGTTAAGACTCTGGCAGCAGCATTTTGGATTAACTAAAGACATTTTAAAGAAGTATTTGGACACCCAGATAACAAACCATTGCAATAGTCCAGTCTAGACGTGCCAAATGTATGAACCAGTTTTTCTGCATCATTTTTAGATAAGATATTTCTAATTTTATCGATGTTACGCAGGTGGAAGAAGGTGGTTCTAGTAACATTTTTAATATGAGGGTTAAAAGACATATCCTGATCAAAAACAACACCAAGATTTTTAACATTAGAGCTGGAGTCCAGATTAATGCCGTCCAAGAATGGTGAAAAACTGAAAAATGTATTCCTAAGATGCTCAGGTCCAAAAACCAAAACCTCAGTCTTGCCTATATTCAAAAGCAGAAAATTTAGGGTCATCCAGGTTTTTATGTCTTTAAGATATGCTTGTAGTCTAAGTAGCTGATTGGATTCATTGGGTTTCATGGACAAATCAGCATAACAATGAAATTGTATCCCATGACATTGAATAACTTTACCCAATGGAAGCATATATAAACTAAAGAGTATTAGTCCAAGCACCAAGCTCTGAGGAACTCCATGACTAATTTTGGTGTATGAAGAAGATTCATTATTTACATTTACAAACTGGAATCTATCAGATAGATATGATTTAAACCATTTTAGAGCTGTTTTGGTAATCCCAATATATTCAAGCCTCTGTAGTAAAATATTGTGAGCAACTGTATCAAATGCAGCACTGTAGTCTAACAGGACCAGTGTAGACACAAGTCCATTGTCTGAGGTCATGAGAATATCATTAGTGACTTTTATTAGTGCAAATTCAGTGCTGTGGTGAGCTCTAAACCCTGACTGAAACTCTTCAAACAGATTATTTCTTTGTAGATGTTCACGCAACTGACCTGCAACTATCTTTTCTAAAAATTTTGAGATGGAAGTTAGATTAGATATAAGTCTATAAATGGCCAAAATTTCTGACTCAAGGTCATACTTCTTAAGTAAATGTTTAATTACAGCAATTTTAAAGTGCTGTGGTACGTAACCATTCATTAGAGCCAAATTAAGCTAATCCAAAATGTGGACATCAATTAGGGGAAATACTTCTTTACATAGCCTGGTTAGGATGGGATCTAGCAGACATGTGGATGGTTTGGATGAAGCTATTAGTTTTGACAATTCAGAGAGCTCAACAGGACAAAAACAGTCCAAACACAAATCAGGTTCTAGTAACATCTCTAAAGCTGCATCATCTGACAGGGGACCAAAGGTGCTAAAAGGAAGGATGGTTTGAATTTTCTCTCTAATTGAAATAATATTACTTCTAAAGAATCTCATGAAATCATCACTGCTTATAGTTGTAGGGATACTTGGTTCATCAGAGATGGGACTTTTAATTAGTCTAGCTGTAGTAATGAACAGAAACCTAGGGTTATTTTTATTCTCATCTATTAAAGATGAGCAATATAAAATTCTAGCTTTATGGAGAGCTTGCTTATATGTTAGCAGAATATCTTTCCAAGTTAAATAAAAAAAATTGACATTAGTGGAGCGCCATTTTCTCTTCTGGTTTCTAGATGCCTGCTTTAACCTAAGACCTGAACTCTTGCATATGTGGATGCCAGGTCCTGGGAGGTTAAAGTACATAACTCAGAATTGAACCAAGGAGCCAGCTTCCTCTGATTGATTACTTTCTTTTTCAGCAGAGCAATTTTATCAAGTGAAGTTTGCAATGAAGTTGTAAAATTATCAACAAGATCATCTAAGTCAATGGTCCTCAATCCCCGGGTTGCGGACTGGTACTGGGCTATGGGTCAATGGATACTGAGCCGCACAGAAGGGGAAAAAAGTTTTATTTTGAAAAATCACCATATTCTCTCTACCACATCTGTCTATGACTCATTCTTGACGCAGGTCAACATACACAAGTGGCTAGTTTCATTTTCTGCTCGGTGCATGCGCAGATCAGTTCTACATTGCTGGTGAAGAACAAAGCAATTCAGCTACGCGGTCTGGAGCAGACAGGTGGAGGTGCGCAGCCGTATCTGTGCATTTTGAAGGATTACACTGCATATTTTTCAACCTGCCTGGCAAAGATTGTCTATTAAACTATAACTAAATAAAACTATAATTTTAACAAGCTTCCTAATATCACATCAGAGCTGTCGCTTCACATTTTTGCTTCTGCTCAAAAAAATCTCTAACCCTAAAAGTTCAGTCATGGGTAATTTTATTATAAAACAAAAAAATATATAATTAAATGTTTTGCTTGATGTCTTGTCTCTTGTGACCCTTACACCTTGTGTAGTGTCATTTCCTTTGGAAACCCTTGATGTCCACTCATCTCCTTTCTTAGCACCTGTAGTGAAAACATGCTCCCCTTTTCTTTTCCTTTAAGTAACATCCTGGTTTATGCTCAAGGTAATAGCTTTGTGAAAAGTTGTTAATTGCTTAATATAAAAGCTGTAGTGTTAATAGTTTTTTTTTTTATTAAGCTGTAGCTGCTCAATCTTTTTGATATCGTCCACCTCCCTGTTATCTCATGCGGTGATTGAGCGACTGTGCATTTGCATGCATTTCATATGCATGAATTTTATTAAGGTTAGTGGTAGTAAAATCTTGTTAGCTTTAGATTCACCCTCAGCACCCTCTTCATCAGACTGTCATTCAACAACAGTGTCTTCAGTCAGAGGCTTCTTCAGATCCACTGTAAGACAGACCGCTACAAGAGATCCTTCCTGCCCACAGCCATCAGCATCTATAACATTTTTTTAATGAAACCAGGCTGATGAGTTACAACAACATTTAATTCCCCTCTGGGATTAATAAAGTATTTTTGAATTGAATTGAATTTGAGGCTTATATTAAGTCATTCAATTAAATCAACCATTTGGGCATCTCTCCTTCCTTGTCCCACAGACTCTTCTCTGATTCTGCAGTCTTTGAAGAAGTTGGTCTGCCAAATATGGTAGGCAGTCACTTCCTGCTTATAAATATATATATATATATATACATATATATATATATATATATATATAAACAATAGAACAACATACAGTACATTCATTCTACCAAGTAGTTATGCATTTAGCATTAGCATTTCTCCATCCCTTTTATTTTAAGAAACTCTTATCAGATCATTTGATTCAACTACCATGGTAAGTGCAATGATGGGTGTGTTTGTGTGTTTGATACTTAAATGAGTAGAAGTCTCAGGAAACAGCAGTTTCATGGATCCATTTTGTGCCCACAGGGCAGAAACAATAACCCTAACTGTTAACTGACCCAATTTTTTCATTCTTTATTTTACCATCCAACAGACCTTCGCAAGCGCATGAAAAAATTCCTTTGGTTATAACACAATAATCCATCATGCAGTCAAAAACATCAATGTAACAAACATTTAACAGCTTTGAAAAGAAAGAAAAATAGGTTATGCAAGTTAAATTGTCCACCGAAGTCATCCATCTGTGGACCTGTCCTATAGAGAAAAAATAGAATAGATAAAAAGTGAGAAGCCAACATTAACAATACTCTCTATACATTATAGCTATACTTAAAAATCACATCAAATTAAAGAAAAATATTTAACTGGTTGCAACATTTCATCATCTGCAAAGACTAATTTTGGTTGTTTAGAACATTTTGATAAAGTGATCTTTTTATGGTGGGTGAGAAAAATGCACTCTCTTCAGTGCACTGAAACCCACAGTACCGGTAGATTAAATTAAAATTATAATTTTATGATCAGCTTAAAGCCCGTTTTTTTTTTATCATGCATTTTGTTAGATAGGTCTTTTCCCTTGTAAAAATGATCATAAATTATTTCATTAGTTTGATTTTATTTCAAAGAAGCTTCTTAAATATAAATGTTTTGTTTATGGTTTAAACAAGTTATCTACACTCCACTAGATCCTCATTTGGTGATGTAAACATCTGGAAAGCATCACAAAATGTTTTATCTGTAACAAGTTTCACTGTTAGACAAGCAATGACCTTTTTCACTCCTGCCGACCAAACACTCATCCTGTTCTGATTATGGACGACCTATCTGCGCCTCTCTTCCTTTCTTGGTAGACACGCCAAATTCACCAAACTGCCTTTCAGAACAGTAAATCTTCTTTCCAATCAAGCACATTTTTTCACAATTATTTTCCAATTATCTTTCAGACATTAATAACATTGTCCAGTTTTAAGACTGGGCTTAAGACTTTCCTTTTTGATAAATCCTATAGTTAGGGTTGACTTGTTATGCTGCTATAGACTTGGACTACTAGAGGACAAATTTACCTCATTTCCTTTGTGAAAATTGAATAGTTGTCATTTGATACTAATTCTATCTTAACATGTGATTCTTGACCTGCCATTGTGTATCTGTTCTTACCAAACCCAACCGGTCGAAGCAGATGACCACTTGTCCTGAGCCTGGTTCTGCTGAAGGTTTCTTCCTCATGAGGGTGATGTTGCCAAGGAGCCAATTCACTGTCGCCTTCATGTTTGCTCAAGATGAGAGTTCTGTGATGGAGTTAAATTCAAAGCAGTCTGCTCCTCAAATAAATGTTAAATTATTATTTTTATATATGAATGTTTCTGTTAAATTATTATTTTTATATATGAATGTCTCTGTTCAGGGCCCTGAGACGACTTCTGTTGTGACTTGGGGATATAGAAATAAACTGAGTTGAATTGAATTGAATTCACCTCTTTCTCCTCTTCAGCTGTTCTGTATATGAAAATGTTCTGATCATCAGGGGGTCTGTCTGTTGGACCAGCTGTTCTGTTCCTATTGTTAATGGACTGTGCAGAAGTCTTCATCCAGCTCAGGTCTAAGCTAATAAATGACCATTTTCAACAAATGCTTTTCCCACTGCTGCTGTTCAGAGGACGCCTTCAGAGCCTGAGTCTTCAGTTCTTCACGAGAATGTCTTCTGTCCTCACGTTTCATTCAGTTCTTCAGGACAGATGACACGAGCGTCTGTCTCTGGTCCACTTAGATGTTAATTTGTTATTTCTCTAATTGTTTGATTCTTCTAACTTCAGAGTTTTGAATCGGTGTCTTCGGGATTTAAATCTCTCAGGTTTGTTAGTTATGTGATTTTATTTTTCCCCAGCATGCCCCTGGCCTGCCTCGGATCCTCGTGGGGAACCGTCTCCACTTGGCCTTCAAACGTCAGGTTCCGACAGAGCAGGCGCGGGCGTACGCAGAGAAAAATGGCATGACTTTCTTCGAGATGAGCCCGCTGTGCAACTTCAACGTGATTGAGTCGTTCACGGAACTGTCCCGCATCGTCCTCATGAGGCATGGCATGGAGAAGTTCTGGAGGCCCAATAGAGGTGAGTGACCGGAGCAACACTGCTGCCGAGCTCATAGCTCTTGTTGAACCATGTTCTGAGCTTCATGATTAGACCAACTAAGACGTTCTGGTTCTGAAGGTTTGATTTAGATCGGCAGCCAGAGGAGCTGAACTGTTTCTAACCCATAGGTTCCTTCAAGTACCCTGTTTTTAGTTAGGAGATACAGAAAGGTAAATTACTGCCACCACTAACACCACCAATAACACCACCACTAAAACCACCACTAACATCACCACTAACACCACCATTAACACCACCACTAACACCACCACTAACATCACCATTAACACCACCACTAACACCACCACTAACATCACCACTAACATCACCAC